TGTGAAACAAAACCAATTATATGAAACAAATTCTGAAAATGAATCACTCTAAGATAACAATTGTGACAAAACAAAATGATTTAATTAACAAATTATTCCAAAATGAAAAATTTTTTTCCATAGTGCACATCTCCAGTTGTAATAACTGGTCCATAAACAGCCATTGTTCATAAGAGCCTCCAATTGCTTTTGATGCTACCTTTCTCACACAGTCATCATTAGTCCGTGCAGGACCAGCAGCCATGTCTGTAGGGCAGGTGTCACAAGTTAGCCTGCAGTATCTTTTTTCTGTATTCTTACCTCTTGCTGTAGTGCTTTTCCTAGCCTGATTCCTTTCACATGTGTGGTTTGGCTGTGCTCACTATTGGGAGTTGCCTGCTATTCTCTGGGTTTTATTTTCCTTTCATCACTTCCTGGCTTGCTTCCTAGTTTGCTTGCCTATATAAAAACATGCTCAGTCTAGCCCACATTGCCTGAGCAACTTCACAGTTCTCTGAGCTCCCGGGCACTTGTTGCTTGTGTATCCTGTGCCTGACTAAACATGTACTGATGGCTTTGTTTACAATCTGTGCTTCCTTGTTGCCTACCCTAACCTTAGCTTGTCTCCTGGATTTCCTCTTGTCTCCTACTGCCTGTGCCCAGCACACGTGAGTGATCTCCGAGTCCTCAGCTGGGCGTACCTGGGGGCTGCAACCTGGTTCCAGCTTGCTGCAAGTCCATCTCCACCATGATGAAGAAGCAGGCTAGAGCTTAGACTCCATGCCCTGGGGAACCCCGAGTTGGTGACCTACAAGTGCTCACTACCACAGACGCTTGACAGCAGGATGTGACCACTGGTAGAAATGGCCACTTACATTTCAGTGCTGAAGGGTGGGGCACTGGACAATCAGCTATAATGGGACCATGGATTAAGGTTAGAACTAGAATATTACTGGGTGCTGGCCCCTCATCTTAAAAAAGCAGGGGGAGTGGCAATTTAGTTTTTTTTAGGTGACTGGAGTTAAGTCTGTCAGAGAAACATTTGATGAAAGGTACCCTTTTATGTTCTTCAGTGTATGCTATTTCCAGCTCAGTCATCTCAAATACAGTGAAGCTGAAGAGGTGCTTCTCTACCCTGGATCTAATATGTAGCTTGTGAGTGAGATAATGAAAGCTTCCAACAAAAGCTTCTCAGTTCGGTTTTCGGCTTCTTGACAGATTTCCTTTAGGGTCTTGGGCAATTTCCAGTATACATGTCTTACACACATAGGATCTCCTTGCGCTTTGCTCTAAGAGGCAATCTTTTTCCAACTTTGTTTTAATAAAATTTGATTGATTCTGTTTAATAAAGAATTAAATTGAATTTCTTTTCACATGGTTTCCTTTCCTGGCTATAGACTGAATCCTATTTTCTTTTCATTTTCAGGAAAGAACAATACAGGTCCCATGGTGTTAAAATGGATTACTCTACTGATTCTATTCAGTCCCACCTGTGGAGGCATAGACTTTGAAATGATTAAGTAATGGGTTAGTGCTATTCTTGTGAATTCATTTTTAATACATAGCATACTGAGCCATGAACTCGAAATTCAAGAGAAAATCAGGCTAATTGTTTTCTGGTCCCAATATCCCCACAAGCAGAACTTGCTGACTTCACGAACTTTGTTGGAGACTCCTTATACAAAATTATGCATAGTATTTGCTTTAGGGCAAATAAGTTATATTAGCTATACAAGTATAAAATTACAGCGTCATTATCTTTTTGCCGCCGGCAACCATGGAGGTCCCGGCGGCCATCTTTTAATCCACCTCATGGTCAGTGTTTGTTTTTATTCATTTATCCCCACCCATGTATACTGCTTAGAATAAAATCTCTTAAACGGTATTACGCTATTGGTCTCCTTTCTTTGTGGCCCTTGGTGAGTCACATATCACCTGTAGAGCCATCTTTGAGAGAGACTGTGGATTATCAGCAACATCCAGCGGGTGGAGGAATATCTGGTTTGACCTGACCTAAAGAGCTACCAGTGGATCTTTCAGAGATAATTTATCTCTAAACGCGCAGCTACGCTGTGCATCTGGTGATGCACAGCCTTATTCTTTTCACGTTCACCGCATGGAATCAGCACTTTGAAGGAGAGAAATTACCACAAAGACTGTGTTTGCACTGCATGTTACTCTGCTTACTGTTCAGGATCACAGTAGTCACCTATGATCACTATATTGACACCTTGGATAATTTGCATTATTTCTCATTACTTGTGATATAGCGCCGCATCTTTTATATTATATACAAGTATATTACCAGTTGCAAAATATGGTCATTTGTATTTGTAGGGTACTTTAAGTAGGATATGAAACTTGAATTTAAGATGATGCTCGCTCTCTATTGAAGAATATTATTTAAGATGGTTTTCATGTGAAAAAAGTGGATGTTCAGAACAGGGGTAATACTAAAAGAAAATATGACTACAACTGAAATATCATCCCAATGATAATGAATCAAGCTAATCTGTAGAGGTCATACTGACCCTGTGACCTTGCCAGTCTAATAGACGATCTACAGAGATGCTTTAAAGGAAAACAGTACCTTAAAGTGGAACTCAAGTGAAAGTTGGTTCATTGTAGGTATCCATATCTGATCTCCAGAAGGCCACTGGGGATTCTGTAAATCACTGTAGTAGTATGCGTTTGCACACAGTGATAACTGTGATCTTCCAGGGTGGCTCCAATGGCTTTCCTTCTGCTCACAGAACACAGGGGGTTGCTCACACAGCATCTCCATATTTTCAAAGAATGTATTGTATTGCGTTACAGTTGGGAAGCTGCTGAAGCAGCCATGGAAGATCATATTTACAAACTATTGAAGTAGCACAAACTACAACAAAACGAATTTCAGCATACCCAGGGACCCTCCTGATAACAGATATGGATACTTACCAACCCAAGTGTCACCAATGTAGGTTTGAAAAAAAAAATATTATGCTTTAGGTACAGTTGTCATCTAGATGACAACATTTCTTTACCCCAACACCCCAAGTTTTACACTTACCTGTCCTTTCCCTTCAAAGACTAGTGTAGAGGCGTGCTCAGTAAACAGTTCATCACACTTGTGGTAAATAGTATGAAGTTTATGAAAGTTGCTAGTCTACAGGTGATAATTATCATTATTAGTCATTATTTTGCAGGGGAAACACAATCATCAGGGCTAGTGTTCAAGAAAACATAAAAAAAACTAATAAATATCTCAGGATTACAGCATAAAATACTAAATAACTTAGGACAATTGATAAATTAGTATGAATAAAATATTGAACTGTTCAAATGTAACTGGGTATAGTAGCGCCAATCAACATGTGATTCAGGAACATCTATCAAAACAAGACCGTGTGGTAAAATAGAAAGAAAAAAATGGAAAAAGATGGAGAATTCAAACAACATAAGAAGACAAACAAAAATGTAAAAGAAAGATGAAGAAGAAAAACTGAGGTCTAGGATACCATTTAAGGGATAAATTGGTGCAGAGTTTGTAGGCACTGGTCTCTAAGAGTAGATGTAAACTCTTACTGAATGCCCTGTAGGTAAAAACATGCTATGGGGTTGATTTACTAAAGGCATATAGTCTGAACACTGCAAGTGCCGTTTCTCCAGCTTTAAGGGGACACTCTGAAATAAGGGAATCTCTGCTGATTTCTATCATCCAATCATGCACAATGAAAAATGCTGGTTTTTATTTTCCTTGCAGGTGATTGGGTATTATTTGCAAAGTGAAGCTTTACCTCATTTACCAAGCTCTGGAGTAATGCAGCTTCTTTACACTCTTTCTATTTCTGTCCTTGTGAACTACAGAGATAACAAACTGAATGTGTTTATTTACAGGGCATAGTTACATAGTGAGGTGTCCATTTATGAAAGAGAGAAAAGCTGAGATCCAGATGATCACAGCTGATCTCTCAGGTGTGCCAGTTTATGAAGCTGAGATGAGGAGCAGAGAACATGTTCTTCACTTCCTATCACAGAACACACTCTTCTGTCATTGACTTTTAAAGAGATGGCCGGTTTATGAAGGTGAGGTCTGAAGATCTCACTGGCCATCTCTGTAAAATATTTCCTTCCCAGATTCTCTAGGTGGAGAATCTGGGTGAGATGCTGCCGTGATGTGAGGAAGAAAGCCTCTTTCTTTCTAATATCAGCTCCAGTGAGGTTAAAGATTGATATAAATAATAACTATATATGGTCATGTGTGTATATATGTATATTTGCTTTATATATACAGTGTGTGTATGTGTGTATATATATATATACCGTATTTTTTCGCACCATAAGACGCACTTTTTTCCCCCCAAAAAAGGGGGAAAATGTCAGTGCGTCTTATGGAGCGAATATGGAGCGGCCCGGTCCGGTATTTCCACTGCCGCCGTGTCAGAATACCGGGCCGGCCGCTCAGCTCTACAGCGGGACCTTATAGAGATGACTGCTGACCTTTGGGGAGGGGGGGGGAGCGGGTACCTGAATTTGACAGATACCCGCTCCCACTTCCGTGGAGTTGTTCTTTCATCTTACCTGTTTCCTCTATCCAGCGGCGCGGTCTTCCCGGCTTCTGTAGTGTGGGCATGACAGTAGGGTGCCAAGTGCGCATGCGCAGGAAGCGGTGCTTTTTGTGAATGGTAAGGCGGCACCTGGGACACAGACAGATCCCAGAAGCCGCCAGACCAATCACAAAGCGCAAGTGCTTCTCGCTCATGCGCACTGGGCACCCGGCTGTCATGCCGAGCGCCATTACAGAAGCCGGGAAGACAGCGCGCGGCTGGATAGAGGAACAGGTAAGATGAAAGAACAACTCCGCGGAAGTGGGAGCGGGTATCTGTCAAATTCAGGTACCCGCTCCCCCCCCTTCCCCAAAGGTCAGCAGTCATCCCCTGTACTGTCCACAGTCTCTGGTCATCCCTGTGCTGTCCGCAGTCTCTGGTCATCCCTGTGCTGTCCGCAGTCTCTGGTCATCCCTGTACTGTGTCCGCAGTCTCTGGTCATCCCTGTACTGTGTCCGCAGTCTCTGGTCATCTCCTGTACTATGTCCGCAGTCTCTGGTCATCTCCTGTACTGTGTCCGCAGTCTCTGGTCATCCCTGTACTGTGTCCGCAGTCTCTGGTCATATACTGTGTCCGCAGTCTCTGGTCATCCCTGTACTGTGTCCGCAGTCTCTGGTCATCCCTGTACTGTGTCCGCAGTCTCTGGTCATCTCCTGTACTGTGTCCGCAGTCTCTGGTCATCTCCTGTACTGTGTCCGCCGTCTCTGGTCATCTCCTGTACTGTGTCCGCAGTCTCTGGTCATCCCTGTACTGTGTCCGCAGTCTCTGGTCATCCCTGTACTGTGTCCGCAGTCTCTGGTCATCTCCTGTACTGTGTCCGCCGTCTCTGTCATCTCCTGTACTGTGTCCGCAGTCTCTGGTCATCCCTGTACTGTGTCCGCAGTCTCTGGTCATCCCTGTACTGTGTCCGCAGTCTCTGGTCATCCCTGTACTGTGTCCGCAGTCTCTGTCATCCCCTGTACTATGTCCGCAGTCTCTGGTCATCTCCTGTACTATGTCTGCAGTCCATTAGTTCATATAAATTTCTTTTCCTGTTTTCTGCCTCTAAAACCTATTATGGTCAGGTGCGTATTATGGAGCGAAAAATACGGTATATATATATATATATATATATACACAGAGAGAGAGAGAGATATTATGGTATAGTTATAATGTATTGTCTTTAGGACCAATTCACATTTGAGCAATGCAGAATTGTTAAATAAACCAAAAGTGTTGCACTGCTAAATAGATAATACAGTTTCATAAAGTGCATTAATCTAAATTAAACAAAGTATTGTGCTATTTAAATGACTAAATAATACAATTCATTAAAGTGCATAAATCTGACAGTAATTCATTATGGTAAAAAAGTTAACAATAACACAATCGTGTAGAAAATAAATATCCAAAAAATATAATAGTCCATTCACCAAACTCATGAACAAAAAGCTGTGCTCAATCTGTGCATCAAAAAAAGTCTTGTGCTTCCAATTCACACGGTCGTGTGTGCCATCCAACAAAATGAAAGCATAAGCCTTCTCGGACAAGGTTTGGGGAAATTCCAATTAGAGATGGATTGATCAGCACTCAGATTCCTTTGGCAGACAGCCCTTGATGTAAATAGAATGGCTTTGCCCACAATACCATTGTCAGGCTTCCCCCACAGCTTAAGGGCAGATCGATCAGCATATACAACCATCAATCCCTCCCCTCATGCCATGGTGCTAGGTGTAATCCTAGACTCCCATCTGTCCTTTCAGCCCTAAATCCAATCTTGTAGACTTCACCTTTGCAACATTTCCAAGATATGCCCGTTCTTAACCACGAAAACTACTAATCAACTTATTCACTCCCTTGTTATATCTCGCCTTGACTATTGTAACTCCCTCCTCATTGGCCTACCTCATCGCAAGCTATCCCCACTCCAGTCTATCATGAATGCTGCTGCCAGACTCATCCACCTTACTAACCGTTCTGTATCTGCCACCCCTCTCTGCCAATCCCTCCACTGGCTTCCCATTGCTCAACGGATAAAATTCAAAGCATTAACAATAACATATAAAGCCATTTATAACTCTGCCCCAAATTACATCACCAATCTCATCTCCAAATATCACCCAAACCATACTCTCCGCTCCTCGCATGACCTCCTGCTTCCTAGCTCCCATGTGTCCTCCTCCCATGCTCATCTCCAGGACTTCTGCAGAGCTTCCCCCATCCTCTGGAACTCTCTACCCCAATTTATTAGACTATGGTCTACTCTGCTCACTTTTAAGTGATCTCTGAAAATCTATCTCTTCAGGGAAGTCTATCCTGCCCTCAGCTAATAATGGAATCTTCTACTCCTCCTACCAGTCTATCCCCACAGTTACTACCTTTTGTATCACTAGCCTCTCCCTCTAAGATAGTAAGCTCCAAGGAGTAGGGCCCTCCTAACCCTCTTGTATTGAACTGTATTGTTGCTGTATTGTCTCCCGTTATATTGTAAAGCGCTGAGCAAACTGTTGGCGCTATATAAATCCTGTATAATAATATTAATACCCGAATATGAAAAGGAAGGGGATTGCTCATGGTGCAGTATTAAAAATAATTTATTTAAAATATAGACTTATATTTACAAACTAATAAAATCACAAGGCATAGCAATTGTAACGCACCCAGCACCCCGTTGGGCATGATGACGTCACCTCTAAGTCTCCACACTTTACAATTGATGTTCCTTGTGATTTTATTTGTTAAAATCTCCTCTTCTCAAGAGAGAATAAATTCAGTTTAGCTAATCTTTCTTCGTAGCTGAGCTCCTCCATGCCCCTTATCAGTTTGGTTGCCCTTCTCTGCACCTTCTTCAGTTCCTCAATATCGTTTTTGTGAACTGGTGCCCAAAACTGAACTGCTTATTCCAGATGAGGTAATACTAATGATTTGCACAGGAAAAATTATATCTCTCTCTCTTTCTGCAGTCCATACCTCTTTTTAAGGATTTTGCTTGCTTTGGAAACCAAACCACAGCTTGACATTGCATGCTATTATTAAGCCTGATCTACCAGACCATCCAGATCCTTCTCCACCATTGACTCTCCCTGTTGTACTCCTCCTAGTATGTATGATGCATGAATATTTTTAGCCCATCAACTACATGACTTTACATTTATCAACATCAAACCTCATTTGCCATAGTTACTTTTTTTTATCATTGGGGTGACAAGATTATTTACAAGCAGGATTGCAAGATTGTAGAAGGCAAGAGCATTGTAACCCCAAAACACAAAGTGCTTTGATTCTGGTTCTCTTTGCACTTTTCACATATTAGAGACATTCATCTCTCAACGTTCTCTTACAAAAGTTTATTGCTTGTAGCCATCACCTCTGTCAACCCAGAGTGTACATGAAAAACACCTCAAAACCATAAACCAACATTCCAGAGATGAAGCAGTTGTTAGGGTGAACTAAAAACATTACATTGCCAGGTTTCAGCGACAACTACCGAACAAATAGCACAGTGACTGAAGAGTATACAGCAAGTTTGGGTCTGCATTTCTGCAAATGGAGTTGGAGATTTAATTAGGATCAATGGTGTCCTCAATGCTGAGAAATACAGGCAGATACTTATCTATCATGCCATACCACCAGGGAGGCATGGGATTGGCCCCAAAAAATATTCTACAGCAGGACAAAAACCCCAAACATTCACCTATAAGAACTATCTTCAGCATAAAGAAGAATTAGGAGTCCTGGAAGTAATGGTTTAGCCCCCACAGAGCCCTGATCGTAACATCATTGAGTCTGTCTGGGAATACATGAAGAGACAGAAGGATTTGAGGCAGCCCACATCCCCAGAAGATCTGTAGTTAGTTCTTCAAGATGTTTGGAACAACCTACCTGATGAGATTTTACAAAAACTGTGTGCAAAACAAATCAAAGGATTGTTGATTTTGTACATATTTTATTCCTTAATGTATTACAGTCAGGAATTAAATGTAATTTATATATATTATATATATATATATATATATATATATATATATATATATATATAATATAAGTTATAAAAGTTTGACAGATTTATGGACTGACTGCATATCCTTTTATTACTATATATTTATATATATATATATATATATATATATATAAAACAAGTCAAAGGATATGCAGTCCATAAATCTGTCCAGTTCCTGACTGTAATACATTAAGGAATAAAATATGTACAGAACCAAGCCACTACACATTCCCTTTAATCTCCCTAGCGGTATTCCCGAGCTACACTTGGGGTAAAATGTCAGTACCAAAAGCGGTAACCCCGAGCTACACTCGGGCTTACCATACGGCGCTGCATAGGGAGTCCCTGCAGCACTTACCTTGTCCTTCGCTCCCGCGATGTGTCCCCTGCAGCGTCCCCGGCCATTTCCTCCAGCTGATGCCGGCATCCGGCTTCTGTGTTCCAGTCCCTGTGACGTCGGGACGTACAGGCGCAGCTGGCGGAGGGAAATTTGAAAACTTAAAAAAAAATGTTTTTTTCAAAACGAATTTTACATAGTAAAACATTGCTGTTTCAACCCATTTCACATACATTTTGTCCCTAGTGCTTTGTCCTGTCCCCTGTCTGCATTTTGACTGTTCTTTCTGCCTGGAAACTTAGAAAAGTCCATGGCGGCCAAAAAGCGTCCCTTTAGGTCAAAAGCGGGTTTAGATCAACTAGAGAACAGCGATAGTAAATCAGAACCACTTGCAGAATTGACTGATAACACTGTTCAACAGGTAAAAAGTTTTGGGCATAAAATTAGCTAATCTTACATAATTTTGGGGTGCTGAAAACGAAAATGACCCTAAAAAATGTTGATTGGCTCTAGTTTCCATGATATATTCACCCATCTAATGACGTAAGCCATTCAAAATTATGATGCAACTTCAGCTGCATATTGCGCAATTGATACTGGTGACCAATAGAAAATTGCATGTATACTGAGATGATGCAATATTAGCCTTTAATTGCATCACTTCACTGCATAAAAGCTGCAGTATCTGTAGCTGATTGTAGTTCGACAGCGTCTACATTTCGTTTTATGCTTATATAGGCTACTCAGTAATGCCTCGAACTTGTGTGAATAAAACAGATAATTTCTGCTATATCTGCGGTGAAATAACTTTTATCTCACAAAAAAGGAGGATAACAGGAATGATTAAGAAAGCCTACAACTTGTATTTTGGCTGCAAGATAGGAGACCAGGACAAGAGCTGGGCACCACATATATGCTGCAATTCTTGTGGGACGGCACTGGAGCAATGGTTGAATGGAAAAAAGGCATCTATGCCTTTCGCTGTGCCAATGATTTGGAGAGAGCCAACAGATCATGTTAGTAATTGTTACTTTTGTATGGTGCCTCCAACAAAAGGGCTAAATAAGAAGAAAAAGTTATCTGTGCACTATCCAAATATTCCATCTGCAATACGTCCAGTTCCTCATGGAGAGGGGCTACCAATTCCTAAAGCACCAGAATCCTTTGTGGTTGAGTCAAGTGAGGAAGAACCTGAAGCGTGTAGTCACGTGCAGTCGTAAGAGATAGCCCTTTCCTCGAATACAAGAGAAAAGCCAAGAGAAGCAAAACCGACACAAACTGAAGACAAAACTAGTGAGAATCCTAAGTATTAAAATGATTCAACTTAGCTTAATTTTTTCTTGGTAATCCTATGCAATATATTATGCCATTTAGGCTTTGTTATGTAGTCAATATCACTTGCTTTATATTTGTGGAAAGACATCTATCTATATAATTATTGTGCATTATGTAGTCATTACGCCTATAGTAGAAAACTT